CGGTTCGCGGCGTGCGGCCGTTTTTTGCGGCGTTACGCGGTTGGCGGCGGGCGATGCGGGCGTTTTTTGCGGCGGCGGTGTTTGCGTTTTTTGCGGTGTTTGTGTTTTGCGGCGGACGCGCGTTTTTTTTTTTTGCGGCATTTTGTGCGTTTTTTCTGCGGTTTTCGGCGGGCGGGCGATTGTTTTTTTGCGAAGTTTGCGTTGGCGTTTTAGGCGTGCGTTTTGCGCGTTTTGTGGTGTTTGCGTTTGGCGGCGGGCGGGCGGGCGGTTTTTCACAATTAAAGTCCCAACCTTCGGATCCGCAGTGCTGTTCGACAAGCGCTGCCCGGGCCTATCCGAAGGTTGGGACTTTTCAATTAGACAATCACTATTCTTTAGAATTGTGATTTTCTATTGAAAATCCCAGCCTGAGCTACCTCTCTAGGGGGGTGTTTAGCGTTTCTGCCGCGATTTGGGTCATTTTGATCCCTGCAAAAACGGCACGGTAGAATTTCTTGCCATTTTCAGCGTTTGGTCCCCTATGGGGGAGCTACCGGCTGGCATCGGTCGCTTGAAATATAATTAACCCGTTTTGGGGTAATCGGCACGTGCATTTTCCCATAGGGTTAACATGGGGGAAAATTTCAAATGCGATTTGCGCAAAAACTCCACGTTAGAAATGGATTGTTTTTTTAGGGTGGGTTCTCGGGTCGGGACTTCACCTGCCGGTGGTGGCCATTTAAAATATAATTATACTTCCTTAGGGTAATCGGCAGGAACAGTTACCCCATGTTGAGCCTATGGCGATTTCGAAAAATTATTTTCAAATCGATTTTGCCAAAAATTTCCACGTTAGATTTTGAAAAAGTTCCAATATGTTGTGCACCGGGGTGTCGGCTACCACATGGTATGGGTCAGATATGGGGCGATTGAAAAGCACGTGCCACGTGCAAACGTGTTTGATGGGGTAACCTCCGGGAAAATCCGACACTGGCCAACTGGGGGTCCTATGACGTGGAAACGACTTCAACTAGCGACACCAAATCAGTGCAGCCGGTGAGCAGATGAATCCAGCTTATCGCACTAGTGGTCACGTGGCGCACGTGCTATTGCACGTGCCGTGGCACGGGGTCAATTTTGGTGCTTAAATATACTAGCATTGTGAAATGCAAGGAATGGGGGAAATAGCCGTCAGGCCGTCAGTTTTTATGATAGGGTCGATCTGAAAACGGGTATGGACACAGAATGAAGGGGGCTAGAAAACTGCTATCTCTGATTTTTTGTAAAATGACAAATTAAAAATTCTGGGGAAATTATATATTCGAAAGGTGAAATTTCCCTAAATTTTCCCGTTTTTCGAGTTTAGCCGTCCACTGTTCAGAGACGGTGACACCGGCCGGGGTCATCTTCTACCTGCTGATGGCCACGTCGATGGGTCATCACGTGGCGTGAACGGTGAAGCTATCAAAGGTCCGGCACGTGCCACGTGGCCACTTGTTTGAGTCGCGTACCTCCCAGATTATCGTGTGTTTGCCGATTTGTGGCCTTATTGCACGAAAACAGCACAAGCCAGGAACACTGAAATGGTGCAATCAGTGAGGGGAGAAGTCCTGCTTGCACCACCAGAGGTCACGTGGCACACGTGCAAATCTGGGCACCTCCGTTGCGGAGATATTTTATAGTGAAATATTCAAATGTACATAACTTTTTCCCGATTGGGCTAGAATTTGGTGGGTGGATGAATTGTTAAGCGACATGAACGAATGCGCCATGTTTGTTGCAGTGCGCCACGTTTGTCTCAAAGCGCCATTTTTGCCGCAAAGCGCAGAATGTGCGTAACTTTGTCGAACATTGGACGATTAGGATGCGCTGTAATTAAGAGATGGCTGCTTAAACGGCAGATATGAATGCACCACATTTGCCGCAGGGCGCCATATTTGTCTTAATGCGTCAGTGTTTGTGTTTTGCCTACGGCGGGCGTTTTTTTGCGGCGGTGTTTGCGTTTTTTTCGGTGTTTGCGTTTGACGGCGGGCGGCCGTTTTTGCGTTTTTTAGCGGTGTTTGCGTTTGGCGGCGGGCGGCCGTTTTTTGCGGCGTTTTGCGGTTGGCGGCGGGCGTGCGTGCGTTGCGGGCGTTTTTTTTGCGGCGGTGTTTGCTTTTTGCGGTTTTTGTGTTTGGCGTCGGGCGGGCGGGCGATGCGGGTGTTTTTGCTGTTTGCGTTTGGCGGCGGGCGGCCGTTTTGGCGGCGGTTTGCGGCGGGCGGCCGTTTTTTTGCAACGTTATGCGGTTTGCGGCGGGCGGCCGTTTTTTGCGGCGTTTTGTGGTTTACGGCGGGCGGCCGTTATTTTCGGTTAGCGGCGGGCGGCGGGCGGTCGTTTTTTGCGGCGTTTAGCGGTTTGCGGCGGGCGGCCGTTTTAGCGGCGGTTTGCTGCGGGCGGCCGTTTTTTGCGGCGTTTTTTTGTGGTTTGCGGCGGGCGGCCGTTTTTTGCGGCGTTTGCGGTTGACGGCGGCCGGGCGTTATTTGCGTTGTTGCGGTTTGCGACGGCGGGCGTTTTTTGCGGCGTTTTTTGCGTTTTTTTCTGCGGTTTTCGGCGGGCGGGCGATTGTTTTTTTTTGCGAAGTTTGCGTTTGCGTTATGGGCGTGCGTTTTGCGGTTTTGCGTTTGGCGGCGGGCGGGCGGTTTTTCACAATTAAAGTCCCAACCTTCGGATCCGCAGTGCTGTTCGACAAGCGCTGCCCGGGCCTACTAAATCAGGATACCTATCCATTGATGACATGCATGCTAGTGGTTTCGTGGTTCTCGACACCTATTCATTAGAAAGAATCCTGACACACAATGTTGCACTTTGAGGGCAATTTTTTGTGCTCACAGGTTAAGACGGGCTTAGACGGGTCGCTACGCTACCCTTATTCGAACTTCGAACGGACATTGGACAAACTTTGTGTGGAATTAGCGGACCGTTCGTTATTAAATCTGCCGCGGCGGAGAGATGCTTGGAAAGAAACTGACCTTGGGGCGCCGAGAAACAGTATTGTGTGTGTTTGCAAGTTGTGCCTTAGCTATTTGAAACGTGCAATCCCACCTTTTATTGGTTTCACCTCCATATAGTTAGTTTTCATTCCGAAAATTAATTGCTTGAGTTTGTGTGGTATGATTGCCTTGTAGTATATAGTTATGTTGGGTTAGTTTACATGTTCGCTTACTTTTGCTCTGTTTTGTTTGCCCATTCCGACCGTATTTTGTCCAAACTTTATCTTGTTTTATCCTTGACATTTTCATGAGTTTTTCCAACATAATTCTTTTTTTTTTCTCTTTTGTGAGCAAAAGCATAACTAAAAGCCCTTATAATAAAAAATACGTACAATCCTAACATGCTCTGGGGGCCGATGACCTCTGTAGTCCGGGCGCCCAAAAACCCCAATTCATCATCATCATCATAACATGCTCACTTTGGGAGGGGAATTGAACTGTATTTTTTCGCCTTATCAAATCTCAGGATGGATGCTTCTGTGCTTTCAAATCATGTCATTTTTGGCAAATTTCCCTGACATAATAATCACTCAAGATATCAGCATCCTCCCTACCACTTCCCAGTCTCCTTTTTATAGCTTCCACGCTGTGGCAGTGAGTTAGCTTATGGGCGCTTGCAGTTGTGTGTCCGAGAATCCCATAATCTGTTTGCGAGCAGTAGTGCCACTAGCGGGTAATGCTGTGTAGCTGTCAGAAGCCAGGGCTACCCCTGCCACTAGCTGTTCGGGGCAGCGCAGTGGCTGGCTCCCCCTTTCCAATCTCTCGCGGTACCCGCTCCCGTTCTCCGGCCCTCCGGCGCCGTGTGTGTGTGCGTGTGTGTGTGTGTCTGCTGTTCGCGTGCCTCGTGCCACGCTGGCGGCGGGCGGCGCTCGGCAGCGCTCGGCGGGCCGCCTCCTCGGCTCTCACCTGTGTCTATTGCAGACGGCCGGCCAGGCTCGGCGCTGCGCGCGGCGCCCGCAGCGGACGTCCCACCGGGCGCGGCTGACCTCGGGCGCTGAGAGGTCGGCGCCCGACGCGTGTCGGCTGGTGGCGTTCAGTCGAGCACCGAACGCCACCAGCTCAGAGCTAACGCACAGATAAATCGCCTTCTTGTCTCTCTCCTAAGTTGCACGAATTGACGAAGTAACGATAATATCATATTTCAAGCCCGTAACGATAGTTTAAATTATGTTATTCGTTGAAAATTTTAAATAAATTGCGACTTGAATCACTAATTGCTTAGTTGATAAGTCCACAACCAAAGGAAATAGTTCACCTTCATTTTCATAGGGGCTGTGGCCCTCGCCGGTTACTGATTTGTGCCTACCTCTAATTGACGATATGCTCACAATCGGTTCGAGCTCGTAATGCTGAAGCGGTTTTGTTTTGCTTGAAGAGCTACTGAAGTTGTGGGACTTAGCATGTCCATGCTTCAACTAGTGAACTCCTTTCCATTCAGCTGATGTTTTCACTCACGCTGCGATGCTCCGTTGACTTCCTTCTCCACACATTTGGCTATTGGTTTGTAAGAGCAAAAGTGGATAGGGGGTGATGCTTAGCCCCTTCCTCCGACAGCGCTTGTGTGTATCTGAGCACGTTGAAAGCATATTTGCTTAAATATACTCAGATAATTTTTTGCATTATTTTAAAAACGTTTTCAGAAGGTGAACTATTTCCTTTTAATTTTTGTCGCCACACAAGTTATGAATCAAATTAATTTTGCTGATTTGTTTTAGAACGCAGGTGCAATTTGAAGAAACACGATCTAATTAACAATGCCCAGCGCCTCGAATAACTTTTAATTCACCAATGGAGCACATGAACTACCTTTAGAGGTCCATATGGTACCCCAGACTGTATTTTCTCCTTTCTGCGCGGGCCTACAGTCTGGCCGGGGCTGGGCGGGAAGGACGGGATGGGACGGGCCTGGAGAGGACGCTTGCCCCGTGTGCGCCGGTCGGGCGGCACTGCCGGTACGGAGCGCAATCACTGACTGTATCCCATGTCCACAGCTCCAGTCTACTCTCCAGCCTCGGAGGAGCAGTCGCCTCGACTCCCATCGACGTGCTCAGGGTGAGGAGGTGCACTAGAGGAACGGACATTCCCCGAGGGATGTAATGTCCCTGCAATTAATTCTGCTGTCAAGTATACCGGTTATAGGGATTTTTCTGGATGAAAGTGGGCCGATCCGTTTTCGTAGCACCTCCCGTATAACATGGCTGATTAATATCGGCCAGCATTGCTCAGTTCGCCTTGTGAGACTGCTGAAGGCAGCAGCCTGACACAGTTGCACCTGAGCTTCTGTTTGTCAGGATCTCTGCCATGATCTTACTGTGTTTGTTGCGCGTTACCCACAGACACGAATGATGAACCAGCGCGCACTGCTGCACGCCGGTCCGGCGGCGGCCGCGGCGGCCTCTGAGGGCGTAGTGCCGGCCCACTTTTACCGGAGCAGCCTCGACTGCCTCTACAAGGTGAGTGAATGACAGAGACTCAGGACCTTACAGTCTCGACTGCCTCTACAAGGTGAGTGTGGGGCGGGGACTGAGGACCTTACAGTCTCGACTGCCTCTACAAGGTGGGTGTGGGGCGGGGACTCGGGTAGGATAAGGCAGTCTCGACTGTCTACAAGGTGGGTTTAGGGCGGCCTCTGAGGGGTTGGTGCCGGCCCACTTTTACCGGAGCAGCCTCGACTGCCTCTACAAGGTGGGTGTGGGGCGGGGACTCGGGTAGGATAAGGCAGTCTCGACTGTCTACAAGGTGGGTTTAGGGCGGCCTCTGAGGGGTTGGTGCCGGCCCACTTTTACCGGAGCAGCCTCGACTGCCTCTACAAGGTGGGTGCAGGGCAGGGATTTCATCAGAAGCACTCAGACTCTTTGCAAGCTCATGATGCCCGTCACGGGACTATAACAGTCGTAGGAGGCCTTACTGGAGCTGCTTCGACTGTTAATGGAGGATGGCCGACGGGACTGTCGCAGCCATTTGAGCAGAACTGAGGCAGAAGCTTCGGTGTTTTATTGTGGGCTCGCGAGGCCGAGTCTGCTGATTATATCGCAATTTCTCGAACAGGTTTTACATGCATATATTACGCGCAAATAACTCAAATGTCGGTCAATGACGCTCACGCTGTTTTTGATGGTGCTAGTCCTTGTCATCAGCCTTCTTTCTTTGCGACCGGAGCAAGTGGAGTCCTTTTTGCCTGACCTGTTCCGACTGACATTTGAGACCCTAATTCTGTCTGTTTCAGACGGTGCGGTACGAGGGCTGCCGGGCGCTCTACAAGGGCTTCGTGCCCACCTGGCTGCGGCTCGGCCCGTGGAACATCATCTTCTTCGTCTCGTTCGAGCGGCTAAAACAGCTCTACTAGGCGGCCGGTCGGCGGGGCTCCGGGAGTTCGGAGCACGTCCCCACTAGTTCAATTGGTTCGGCGTGGTGCGGCCCGGGCCGCTCGGTCCGGCCGCGGGGTGCCAAGGCTGTGAGGACCCGCGGCGCTGCGGGCGCTACCGACGAGTGTTCAGTGACGAGTGTTCACTGTGTGCTGGATCTGACTTCTGCCGGGCGGCGGCCGCCGGTGGGAGCTGATTGGTGTGTGGAGCTGTGTGGGAGCTGTGGCTGGGTGGAAGATCGGTATGAGACCGTTGTGGGTGGGAGCTGATGTACGAGTGTGACCGAGTCGGAGAGTGGGTGGCTGAGTGTGTGTGTGCGGCTGTCTGCGCTCATCCCGGCAGTTTGACGAAAACGACCGTGAACAACATGGACAGACACCGTCGAACACGATCGGCAGTCGCCGTGTTCTCTTCAAGCATTACTCGCTCATGGATGGTGTTTCCATATTGGGGTTGCCAAATGTCATTTTCTCACCTCATATGAACGCTGGTCGGTGTTCAGGCGCACTCTTGCCCTGCTCATCGACCAATCACTGTACCATCCCCCTTCATGGGCAACTTTTCTCTGAAACGCTCGAGCTATTTTCAAATGTAATCATGTGTAAATCGCTTTAAGAAGTTGATCTGTTTTTGTCGAGTGACGGGCCGGTCCGGAGAGGCGGGCCCGTTTCGTCACTGTTTCAATGCTCTGATCAATAAATCTGCAGTATAATGCTGACGTGTCTATATTGTGATTGAAGTTATCGGGCGGCAAGGACCACCGTAGTCCAGGGCCCTGTTTCACCGACGCTGCCAGCACACAGGGCAATTTGGGTTTAACATTTTGTTAATGTAAACATTTTGCCCATAGCTCCAACACTACCACAAGTATGACGTCAGCTCAAGGGATGCGCTTGCAGCGCCGGTGAAACACCGCCCGGATACCCTAACTCCCTCCCCTCCCCCGAGGTTATGTCGAGGTTATCCGAGGACATATAAGGTTATCCCCTCCCCGAGGCTATCCGATGACATATTAAAAATAGGTACGGTACCCGCAGGGTGGGATTAAATTCGTTCCCTCATATACAGTGATCCTTATCAGTTGCATTGTGCTCGGATCGGCTACGCTTAGGGCCTTGGGCCTGGCGACCCAAATTAATTTTGATGGAGGGATGGCTGTGGACGCGAGGCTCGAAGCGCAAGCCTCCAAACTCCTAAGTCCAAAATGCCTATAAGAAACCAAAATACCAAGCCTCATCATGAAGGAAGAGGGTAATGTGGAAGCAAGCGTATGTTGCATACACGGCGCCTGTGCTACATTTTCTTTTATGTTCGAAGAGCTCACTTATGAAAAGCGCACGAATCACTGCTGTATTTGATTGGCTTACAGATAGCCAGATAAGCACTATGATTGGCTATTTTAAGCTGCTAGCGAAAACGAACAAAAAACAATTATTATTCTGAACACGCTGCAGACTATAAATGTTTTGAATGTGTTGTGCATTGTATGTGCATAAGTGTTTTGATTGCTTTTGATAGTAAGCTAATTTAAGTTTGCTGTATAAAATTATTGGTTAATTTTTTTGTTACTTCTGACACATTACGTACTAAAGAATAAGTTGCAAAAACTTATCATTCACCACGTGAGCAGGGTAAGTTTTTGACTGTCCAGAGTCAGACTGGAATGAGTTTGTGGTCTGCTTTTTTGCAAGTCCAGGGTTTCTGATTATTTTAACCATTCCAAATCATGTTTGTTAGCATTTAGAAGCTTAAGAAAGCTTATTAGTCACGTGCACCCATTATGTTTTTTTGCACCCATAATCCTTTGACCCAAAGGCCAGACTGGAAATAATACATGTTATGCCGAATATGTCCGGCGTAGTGGCAGGATTGCGCCAAAAATTTCAGCGCACGTCTGGCGTAACTTCGCATGCGCCGAAATCAGCGCATGGCAGCGGACAAATTTTTCAGCGCAGGGTGGTCTCATAATTTTTTTGGCGAAAGATGGTCACCGATTTTATGCGGTACGCTGGTCAATCTAGCAGCAGACTCGCCCCGCGGGCGGCTTTGGAGAGGTTTCGGGACGAGACCTCCCCGCCCCGGTCGTCGCGTGCTCGAACTGGTGAGCCGCTCGAACTCAGCGGAGAAGCGGCTGCCCAGGTGAGGCCTCAACCCTAGGCGTGGAGATAGGTATGGAAGACCTTGTTGAACATCACCAAGCGTCATTAAGCAATACTGCAGTAGGTTCCTGCCCACTGCGGTATCGAGGGGAATGAGAGCGCGGACGACCTGGCAAAACAGATGGCCGCCCTTACCTCAAACACCCACTTGCTGACCAGAGCGGTTCACTGTGCGGCCTCACATCAATGGCGCGACAACTGCTCAGAATCACTATTCAAGCCACTCCTCGGGAGCACGTCGTCGCTCCTTATCCCCGGAGCGGACCGAGAGGATGCCGTTTCGGTGCACCAGATGAGGGCGGGCCACCAGGGGCGTCGACGCGTAAGGAAAACTGGTCCGACTTTTTCTCGGGGGGCCCCCACCGGTGGGGGCCCCAGGTGTCGCGAGGGCCCCGCGAGTCGCAGCGGGGGGCCCCGTGGCCGCAGCAGGGCCCCCCGAGAGCCCCAACAGGGGCCCCTCGCGGCCGCAGGAGGGGACCCCGCGGGCCGCAGCAGGGCCCCGCGGTCTCTAGCAGGGCCCCCGAGCCGCAGTAGGGCCCCCGCGGTCTGCAGCAGGGGCCCCCGCGAGCCACAGCAGGGCACCGCCTAGTCGAAAAAGTGGTCCGACTAGTCGGAAAAGTCGGACCGGTGTCGACGCCCCTGCGGGCCACTGGGGCCGTTCGCTTCAATACGGCACCGAATCGGCTGTCTCCACTCCGCGGCGTGCCAGAAGTGCCCAGATAAGCGGTGCCCCGCGGCGCTCTGCGCCGTGTGCCGAGAAGAGGGTGATGTGCTGGAGCACATGCTGCTCTGCTGCCCGGCCCTCGCTGCCACTCCCACCAGCCTCGAACACACTGCTCCGCCGATATTAACATTGGCACAAATTTGTGGCCCCGGAACTCACGGTTCTAGCTTTGTTTCACGGCATGAAGCTAGAGAGCGCTAAGACTATTGAGGTATTGGGTTTCTGTGGAAATGAAAAACTCATTCGGACGCTCAAACATGGGAGAGCGTACAAGGCCCCGGAACACTCCGTCTGGTTCATATAGCCTTGATCGGTAGATGTGCACGTGCTTTATATAAAAAGGGCTTAATTTTCGCACAAATAGGCACCTAATTTTTGGCGCAAATCACACAGAAATTTCAGCGCAAAATCGCTAGCGCCGAATTTCAGCGCAAAATCGCTTGCGCCGAATTTCGGCGCAAGAGGGTCTCACGGGCGTCCGGCGTAGTGTATGGATGTTTTCCAGTCTGGCCCAACGGTACTTCAATGCAAACTTTGATTTCTGGGAAAAGATGTCACTTGCACTATCTGCTTGACCAGAGGGCTGTTTGGCTGCGCAGCAAAAATGAAGTATGAGGCACCGGATATTCACAGTGAGGGCTACATTGCCCGTTAGTCCAGCCCACACAGTTACATCACATGTGTGGCGTTTGCTGTTTGGTTGCCTACCTACTGTACAATACTTCCCTGCTGTGCAGCATGAAATTTGGTGCTGCAGGAGACAAAAGCGGCGCCAATTAAAGTTAACCATTCTTTATTTCCTATTTTAAATGTTTTTTGTTGTTTTTTTGGGTATCATTATCACTCATCTCTTTTCAGTGGAACATGCTATGCTATTAACCACATTTGAATGCATTTTACCCAGCCATAGGACGAAAACCACCAGTCCATCAGCCATCTGTGCCATGGTTCCGCCGGGCACAGAATATGCTGCAGCGACGCTCTGGTCCTGCATGCCGGCCTAGAGTGGGCGGAGCCAGGCGGCCTACATCACCCAAGTATGAAGCATTCAGCACAGATCTATGCTGCATGGACCTGAACAGCCCTCAGACTGGGAATCTGAGCTGAGCTATGCTCATTGCCCAACTGACCCCTGTATGTATTTGACACTTATGCAGCAATTTGATGACAGATGCTGCTCAATCCTGAGTCCTGACATTTGACAAAGTTTATGACAGGAGAATTTTGATCCCAAAGTCCATACTATTGATTACTCATCTTCAAGCATTTGACCTTGACCTGACCTGACCCATGACACAAACAATTTTAGGCACTTATTGCAAGTGTCTTGTCAGTTGTTACTGGCCTTTATTTGCCACCTGCTTGCCTTGTGCTGCGCAGCACAGTTACCTATTGTTTCTTGAGTTATTGGCTGGGGGTGTTAAATACCCCTCCACTGCCCCAGCAAGTGATGGTTGGTGACTGATGGAATACTGTGGCAACTGACAGGTTGATGTAGTGGAAGTGAAGGGGATTATCATTATGTAACTAACTTTGCATTTGAACCAGGGGGGTGTCACTACTTTGCTTCGCCATATTAGGTCCAGTCCAGTACTGATATCATTGGTTTCGATCCCGGTGACGTCAGTGCTGTCTTCATCCGGGAACTTGTTGCACTTGGTTCTCATTAGACGTAGCCATCTTGTTTTGTCTCCTGACGACACATTTGCGTCATCGGGATCGAAACTGGCTGTAAACAAATCGCTCAGTGTCGCTACCTACTATATATGGCCTTGATTTGAACCATTTCTGATCTCTACAGACTACCACCGCCAGTTTGCAGACTGCCGAGGCACTCACCATGACATCTGCCGCGGTGCACGTCTCCCTGCCGGCCTTCTCCCGGCTGTGTGTGCTCTGTAACGAGTGCTCCCCGGCGCCGCGACCCACCCGCGGCCTGCGAGCCGTCCTCTCTGACGCCGCCACGCTGTCCGAGCTGGAGCGCCGGCTGGTCGGGCTCGACTCCGAGCTCCCTCTGGTCAGCGGTATCTGCAGCAGCTGCCGGCGCCGACTGCTGCGCTGTCAGCGGCTGATGACGCGGTTCGCCGCCGCTGCTGACGCCGTGGCCGCCGACTACCGGAGGGCGGCGGAGGCGCGGAGTGACTGTAAGGTCCTGCTGCGCCGCGGCAGACGCCGCTCCGAGACCTCGTACGCAGCCTGTTGTCGGCTGACTGCCGACGGCGGGGACCCTGCTGACCTGGTGCGGCGTCTGGTGACGGACCAGTTCGGACCGGAGGCGCTGCGAGGCAGGGTAGTCATCAGTACCACCGTTCCACCGGCACCGTCAGAAGAAGCCGCCGCTACCAGTCAGGGATGCGGCGACGGCTCGGATCTCAGCGAAACAGAGAGCTGTAGCTCTGAGTCAGAGGACCGTCAGACGGGAAGGGAATCACAGAGGACCTCTTACATTACGGCTGACGAGGGCCGAGAGACAACAGCGGACCGTTGCGGTGCTGGTGGCTTAGGCGACGCGAGCGGCACTTCTCAGCCGCATCCAGTCGTCACAGACAACGGTCCCGTTGGTACGAATGTCCCCGAGCTCTCCGCTGGGTGTTCGAATATCGCCACTCCTGCTGCAGCAGCGGAGGACGGTCATAACGAACAAGAGGACGAGGAACAAGGGGACAATCACGATGAACTGGAGGACGATGAACAAGAGGACGATCATATGGCGGAGGACAATGAGCAAGAGGACGATTATATGGCGGAGGATGGCCAAGATGCCAACTCTGACCCAGACTGGCCGGGCCGGCGAACCATTAGACGCGCCGCCGTGCAGGCCAGCGCTGTGGTGCACCCCCAGACAGGGGACACCCGATCGGACCGGTTGCCGACAGTGAGGAAGACCCTGCGTTCTCTCTGCTGCCATATGTGCCGTCAGACGTTCGGCTCAGAACGCAGTCTCAAGGCGCACGTCGAGAAGCTGCATAAGATCGCAAGGTGAGTGTGCAGCGAGTGAGGTATATGATTATATGCTAGTCTTGGTAATAGTTTTGATTTCGAAGTGTTGATACGAGACCTATTGAATATTGATACTCACTTTATTCGGAAAAAAAATATTTCTAGGAGCTAAAATCAATTGCTTTTACAATAGCGTGCCATTTCGCAACAGATGTGCTAACGGCAGTTGACTGAAGGGGCTACGTGAGTTCGGTCACCCCGCCCTGTCTGACGACCCCGCCCCCGCCGGCAGCGCCGCCCCGCCAGAGCAGCCGGTCCAGGTGTGGTGTCCCGCCTGCACGGCGCTCCTGCCGCCAGGTGACGTCCTCAGTCACGTGACGGAGCGGCACGCCGGCCGACTCGAGTGCGGCTGCTGTCGTCTGGCACTGGATGGAGCGGCGGAGGCGGCCGGTCACTGCGCCGAGCGACACACCGCCAACTACATGTGTATTGTGTGAGTCACTGGCTGAATCAGAGTGACAAGAGAGTTAGTTGCTTGGGTCATAATTGTAGTGTTGGTTGTTAATTGTACGATGCTCGACGTAAGAGTGTCAGCCTGTATGTACTCTGTAATGAGCTTGATGGGAGCGGGACTTGGCCTTTTCGTCCCGATTACCGCAAAAGTAAAGCGAAATAGGGCAAGGAACTGCCAGTAGAACTTTAACTTTTGTATTCATTTGTTGTAGGTATCTACGCTCGACGCTAACTCCAGTCCTCTGTCGGCAGGTGTCTGCAAATGTACAGCGATCAGGAGCAGCTCATCAGCCACATGAACTCCAGTCACGAACCTCTGCCGTCCGGTGGCGACTGTGGCGGTCCCGCGCCGTCCTCCGCCACCAGTCCCGACTCCTCCGACCCAGTGGCGGCCGTGTACGCGGACCTGTTGCGCCGGCTGCGGAGTCGCGCGCGCCGGCTGCGCCTCAGTCTGCTGGGCCGCACGGCCGTGCGGTGTCCCTACTGCGCCCAGACGTGCTCCCTGCACTATCTGCGGACTCACCTGTACAAACACCGAGCGGCCGGGTTCCGGTGTCGGGTGTGTGACAAACGGTTCAAGTTCCCCGTGTCGTTTCAGAAGCACCTGCTGGTGCACGCCGGCCGGGCCGACAAGTGCCCGCAGTGTGCGGCTGTGTTCAGCAGTCGCAGTAATCTGCTCAGCCACCTGCGCACGCACAGCTCCGAGCGACAGTTCAGCTGTGACCGCTGCCAGAAGCGGTTCAAGTTCAAACAGACTCGCGACGCACACGTTCTTCGCGCACACGGTGGCGGCTCGTCCAAGGTGTGTGACGTATGCGGCGCGGAGTTTCGGCTCCAGTACCAGCTGACTGTCCACCTGGCGCGGCACGTCAACGGGCGCACCATCCGCTGTCCTCTCTGCCCTCGACTCTACGAACTCAACCTGGACCTGAAGCGCCACCTGTACAGCAAACACAAGCTGCGGGCGGCAGAGGCCGAGCGACGGTTTCCTGAGATTCGGCGGCGGCCAAACACGACCCTGGAGCCGGGCGCCGGCCGGACCGATCCCGCAGCTGACCCTGACGAGCCATGTAGAGCCACCGGCGACTATCGGGTCCCTGACGACCCTTCTCAAGTCTCCGACAGCCCCTGCGAAGAGCCCCAGCAAACAATGCCGCCATCCGCAGCCTCTGACTACCCCGCTGCGGCCGCCGTCTCGGAAGCAGTAGCGACCAACGAATATCTATCTACCGCCGGCCCGCCGCCCGCCCCGGACGGCGCCCTGGCGGGGGCGGGGGCGGGGGCGGCTCAGGTGGAGGTGGGGCGGCTCATCACCGTGCCGCCCGAGCTGCTGGCGGGGGCGGGGGCGCCGGGCGCCGGCCAGGTGCTACTGCTGGTGGATGGAGGGGGTGGTGTTTTGACACGGGATGTTCTGCCGGCCTCGCCTGCAGTGTTGTAGGTTTAGTCTGGGGTGTCTCGGGGATCATGATAACCTATTGGTACAACTTGATAATATGACAAATGCATGACAATGGTGCTAGTGTGTAACGCAGAACGCTATTGGTGTTTCTTTTGCTAGGCTGTGCCGGTGTCTCTGGCTTCAAGGCAGCGTATGCCTGTATGGTACTGAGTGGACCTACTGCTGTTACATGGAAACGAGGGGTATGTGGGAGTGAATCTCTGAGAAGTGGTTCTCTCCGCCCAACGCTATTTATTTCAAGTTAGTGTCGTTGCTCAGGGAATTATAGACTTGCTTACGTGCTATAATAAATTCAGCACGTTCACTTTGATAGGAAGGCTGTAGCAAATCGGCAAAGTAATGACATTTTTGCGAGTTAAATACAGGCGTGTGAACATTACTTCTCCTGCCGTGTTGTTTCTTACGCGACCTAACCTACACTGTCTGATCCTTTGCTGCAGGTGCCTCTGAAGCTGGGAGAGGCCAGAATATCCTGACCAGCAACCTTTACCAGCTCCTGGCTGCTGATTCATATCAGACCGCCTGCCAGCCTATGCCATCCTGAGCTGACGCCTTCTCCTGCAGGCCTGGCCGGGATCAGCCCTCTGCTGTGTCGAGATTTCGGTGAGCTCGAACACTGTGGACATAGAACGGCTTCAGATGGATAGGTACCAAGCGTATTGTGGACGACTTGCTGTTACAAAAAAATAGCCATGTTAACGTCATGCGGCCCTCGGGTGAAATTTTATCCGCAGTATCCCTAGCGGTGAACGGTGCAACTATACTTTAGCTTTCCCACTAGATGGCAGTATAAAGGGCGCTTGTAGTAAATGTTGTAGGCGGTAATGGCATTATCATCTGCGGTGAAAATGGAAGAATTAATGCCCTTCCACTCAGAGATCAGACTGAGTTTTCAGCATCTCCTGCTTCACCCTCACAATCCATGAACCATCACGGTGGTCTGCTGGCTCAAGCGATTGTTGCATCAGGCTACAGGTTGATGGCTAGAAATAACCACAATATGAAGATCCCACTTTACTTTTGTTTAAGGTTTCAGATGGCCTCTTCATGAAGCATGTTTTGTTGCATTTTACATTGCTTGCGCCTTGCGCATTACCTAGCGCCCGACACGTGCCAATTTTCTATTGACATCTCAACTCCGACATGTGCCAGTCAGCTCTAGAAAATTTTCACCTATGCTCATCGAAAGCGTCGTTGTTCTCGGTACTCCTGATGCTCACCATTATTCCATACATTACTCCCAACACCCTCTGACACCTCAACACCCCCTGTTTTTAGCCGAGGGGTCGCCAACAGCCAGTGTTTACCTGAGTCCGACTCCATTCTGCGCCGTCCACCTCTATCCCGCCGGCGAGCCCAGCCGGCTGGCTGCCAGGCGATCACGTGAATCGCCGAGCGTCTCTACCAATCGCCGCCGCCGGTACAGACCGCCGACCAATCAGAGCGCCGCTCTCTGCGCGCCGTACTACTGTTCACGTGCAGCGCTGCCGACGGGAGGGGAGGGGGACGTTCAAGGCTGTCAGCGGGCGTGGAGGCGCGGCTGCGCGTGGCTGGCCGCCGGCAGACGAGCGGGACGAGGCACAGTGGTGCGAGTGTGGTCGGTGGAAGGTGCGGCTAGTAGCGTGCTTTGACAGAGCGTGCTAGTCTGACAGAGTTCGAAGCGAGCGAGCGTAGAATCTGACGGTGACGACTATCCGACTGGTGTGCTGCGCAGTTTCGCCTTGGCCTGTTCCGCCTGGTGGTGTTGGTGCGTGACCTCTGGTGCCGACTGCGTCTGTCACCAATTACCGGCCGTACGACGGAGACGAGATGGCCACGAGGGACACGTTCGTCCATCTCCTGGCGGGAGGGTAAGTTTGGAAATTATACCCAGCCTCTCAGGGCTCTCCTGTCGCTCGTTCATTATATAACTGGCTAGAAACCCTACACGATGTGGCAACCGTTCATTTGCGCTGTTTGCTGTGCGGTTATGCACGCTTAGGGTAATTGGTATTGCTCAGTTTAAGGACATTTCCAGTCTGTGTACAGCACATTCACCTTAGAATTGATTGAAATAATATTCCAGTTAAGCCTTACTTGGTCGGACCATGTCCCCGATAGCGTCCGTGCGCATTATTTGATGTGTTGGTGCAATGTTTGATTCACTTCCCATGGGGATGGAGAACTCTCGAGTCTTCCTGTTAGTTCGCCATAGATCTGTGTCATGGGGGTCGTGCGCAGTGCAATGCGCCGATCCCCGACTGCGTGCTGACTGTGTGACTGATCCAGTCCGGCTGTGTCAGTTCTCTGCGCAATGTGAACGGAGAGGGGTTGGCAGGTGCGCATTAGCATGGCGGAGGGTAATGAAGCTGCTAGAAGGGGTCGTCAAGTACGCATTAATGCAGTGAATGTTTGGTGTGGTAGGGTGGAAGGTACGCAGTTTGTTGGCGAACCTATGGGGACTGGGAGGGGCTGTCAGTCCTTACAGTACGCATTGGTGGCGACTGGCGAACGTTCGAGTGGAGCGGAAAGCACGCACTACGCAGTAGCGTCGGCTCCACCCATTGCCCGGGCCAAGAGGTAGCGGTGCGTAGCTGCTGGGGAAGTGCGATGCAGCGTGGTGCGCGTAAATCTGCAGAGTGCAGCGTGCACCAATTTGTGGGTGACCTTCGAACCACGAACGTCATTGTTGACATTCGCCTGGGAGGAAGGAAAAGAACGAAAACCGAGCGGTGGTACTGTCGGCCCGGTGGGCGGTGACCACCTACATGTGACTATAGGCTATGGCTGACTACTTGTGGCTGAGACTGAGAATTGATGTCTGTTTCTCTGCAGGACCGGCGGCACGGTGGGCGCCGTGGCCACCTGCCCCCTGGAGGTGGTGAAGACCCGCCTGCAGTCCAGTCGGAGCGGCTTCGAGCGCCTCCAGGTGCCGTCCATTGCCTCCGAGCAGCACGGCCGCGGCTCGGTGACCTGCCGCAGTGTGGGCCAGCGCCGGCTGCTGCACACGGCGCCGCCACACCTCTCGCGCCAGGCGGCCCACCTGGTACTGGGGCCGGACCTGGGGCCCGGACCGGCGCCCAGCCGGCCGGCCGGACCCGGACTCCTCCAGTGTATACGGTGAGTGGGGACTGGGGAAGGCTCGCTGGGGTGCAGGAATGGAGAAGCGAGTTTTACTATAATTGCTGGTCTTATCAAATTATCAAGTCAAAACTCCGCTTTTTTTGCATATTCCTGTGTTTTCATTACGAGACCCACTTTGTGGTTATATAAGATCACACTCCCTTAAGCTGTTGTATAAGCTGATTCCTACAGCTTTGACATCATAATCTTCGCGTCTTCTTACGACGCGTTCCCATCGGCAGTATAGTAACTCAACTCATCGGCTCATTTCACAGGATCATCGTTGAGAACGAGGGCCCGTATGCGCTGTTCAAGGGTCTCGGGCCGAACCTTGTGGGTGTGGCGCCCTCGCGAGCTATTTACTTCTGCGCCTACCAGAATGCCAAGCAGTTTTTCAACGGCCGGTTCACCCCCGAGACTCCGCTGGTGCATATGACTTCCGCCATGTGTGCTGGTAAGTAGGCCGTGGTTCGGTTCAGGTTTAGACTCAGATTGGACCTGTTTTACCTCCGTCATGTGTGCTGGTGAGTCTTGGGTTCAGTCTTGGCTGGGCTGCATGATTCAGTTTCAGTTTGGTTATCTCCGCCATGTTGTGTTAGTGAACAGTCAATGATTCAGTCAGGGGCTAAGCAGTTTCAGTCCGAATTACGATAACACTCGCTGGTGAGTAATGTTGATTCATGTGGGTGCATCATTTGACAACTTGTCCTATGTGAGTGGCATTGAACACTGAACAGGATCCGACTTGTATCAGCTTGTTTGCCAGTTCGGAGGTTTGTTAGACTAGCATGTGGTAGAATTAAGACCCCAAGTAGCTTGCAGTTTTCATGGTGACTTCCAATAAGCAGCGTATCTAGAACCAAGCTTCTGGGTCAGAATCCGTTCACATAAAGTCACTAAGCGGATAATAGTCGGGACGCGGATATTCTTCGAGTGGTCTCTTGGTTTCCGTGCTTTGCTGATTGTGAACCGCAGTCCGTTATTAGCCAGTATACCGGGGTGGGCTGCCCGTTCTGAGCTCCTACACAAGAGGAATGTTTCTCGTGCCAGCGCTTCCTGGCGCTTTGTGGGCAGCTGCGCAGTTGCACGCACAGACGATCTTATAACCTCGGAAGTCTGCTATATTTAGCTACCCTAGCCAGCTCCGACAATCCTTACAGTTTTATCGCTCTCATATCGTCGCATTCTCCGGCGTTGCGGCTTGTGTTGGCGCTTGTATTTATGTGCAGTTCGTCAGCCTCTGCCTCTCCTTCCTTCCTTCCCGTCTGTCATCCTTCCGTCCGTCGGACCACACGTGTCCTCTCTCCCCTCGGCCGTGACCGAATCACTGGGTCTGTTGGGCGTCCTTGGCGGCGGTACAGACCGCTGGCCGTCTGACGTCAGCACCGTGCACGTGCACACGCATGTGCGTCGTAGTTGCTCGCCGTGCACCCGCACCCCCGCACCCCCGCCCCGCTCCCCGTCCCCAAACCGGGTGACCTCGTTCGGCTTCGGCATGCTCCCACCAGCTGATGGAAAACTACTCGCTGGAACTGTCCGGATCTGTGGTGGTAAAATCGCTGGGTAGATCCGGTAATATCTGGATATTACCGGTTACACGGGTTCGGTTGTTTATCTAGAGGTCAAAGTGCGGCCGGTCTGTTTACTCTTGCAGTGAGTGAAGCCAGGTTTTCGGCAGGCCTCCGGGGTCACTGCGGCGGGTCCGTCCGTCAACGGCGGCGGCCGGCCCCGGCTACCGCGACTGGCGCACGGGGCAGAGCACGAGCTTGTAGCACGATGCAGTACACGGGGCTGATGAGGGGCCACTGTTGCAACAAACAGTTCCTGAGCACAGAAGGCCGCCAGCGGAGGCCTCCCAGGGGACGCAGAATGCTTCCACCTTTTGAGACCTTGGATGGGATGGTGTTCGGTACATTGTCAATGATAGCAAGAAAATCGCGAGACCTTTTGCAATATTCCTCACAGTCCTGAAGACGATACTTCAAAGAGTGGGTGTCGGTGGTGCCTGAAACCCTGCGCACTGCGCGCGCAGGGCTTAGGTATTCATGGTTTGGCCGACGTTTCAGTTATGCAGCCTTATCTGCTGCAGTTCGTCGCCAGCCGTTGTCCCTGTCACCTGCAGGCTTTACGTCACTGTCAGGCTATGCTAGCCGCTGGACGATGTATCCCCATAGATCAAAGTGACTGAGCCCGTACCGTTCGATCGGTTCTCTTAGCATGGGCGGCGAGTTTCCGACCCTCTCATTCTCCCACTGTCTTGCGGAGGAGTTTAGTCGCGTCGGCGTTGGATTTGTCCACCTTTGTCCAACCTCTGATCGGGTTACCGTCTCAGCTCGGTCCTTCCAGTTTTTACCCTGAACTTCGCCTTGACCTGCCTCGCAGGCTCCTGATCTGGCCATAACCACTGTCTCTCCGTGCCACCACTCTGCCGGAATAGCCATTTAATCGAGATTGGAGACCATCTCGTCTAAGTTTTCTGCTACTT